ATGCCACTTTACTCTTAGCTACAATCAGTCGACTGGTTACAGTATCATCGTATTCACAGTACATATAGACAGCTGCACCATAGGCTTACTAAGAGGCGGCATCATATGCAGAATGCGCTTCGACTTGACAGGCTCTGAGTGTCATAGACATCGGGTAATCTTCACCTCTTGCAGACTTTTCAATTGCTCCAACCAATCCCTGATTTTGTCTGCTATTTCATCTTGAACTTCATTATCCCAGGCTTAGCCTCACATCCACAGCTCCTGGAGCAGGATCTTGGCCATAATAACGTATGGGCATACAAGTCCCAGCAGGACAAAAATCTTTGCTACTTTACGCAGGAAGTTTTGCTTCCTTGTCGGAAATTCTGGGGAAACTTCAGAAGCAGTGGCGGTAAACACATCTCCAGTACTGTTCCACGAAATTCCAAGTGTCTTTGTTATCAGATCTTGACTGCTGTTAATCGCAATCTCTGTGGCGTGCTCTTCTGTCAGAATCACTTCAATAACTTTTGGTGAACTAAAGATCCACTTCCTAGCTTGCATGCCGGCAGCCTCCCATAGTGCTTTCAATTGATGGTACAGCTCCACTCCTTCATCATTGTTTTCAACACTGTCAATAGTCCATATAGGTTAACTAAAGGACGGTCTCAGTGGCAAGGGGATAGTGGTCTTGGTTTCTTCAAGGGTTCTCCTGCACGACAAACTGGGACTTCATAAGGGCAGAATTCTTTCCAAGAACTACATGGCTAAACTCAAATATGTCTGGCTCTCGGTTAGGGTCAAGGTCTCTCCAAAACAGTCGGAGGTGGGATCGGTCCTGCTCCTCAATCTCTATCTGGAGATACATTTCTTTTATGTTGCAAGGGACACCAACAGGATTTCGACGGAAATGGATAAGGACAATGAAAAGATCTTGCTGTAATTTCGGCCCAACATGGATCATGTCCTTTAAGGAAGTACCATCACATTTAGTGGCACAGTCAAATACGATTCAACCTTTCTTAGTCGATTTATCCATCCTCATGACCACAAAATGGGGCAAATACCATAGCGTTAGCTGGTGGCTGTTCTTCTGAGGGTATCTTTTGTAAATATCCCTTTTCAACATAGGCCTGAATAGTGGCTTGATATTCTTCTACGACGTGGCTGTTTTTGTCCAGATTTCTTTTGGTGCTTCGGAGGCGAGAGAGTGCCATGGGTTTAGTGTCAGGGAGATCAGGTTTGTTTTCTTTCCAAGGGGTGGCCACGTGGTATCTTCCATTTTCGTACTTGAGGGAATCACTTTGCCTAAGCCTAGTCTTTCGTCTTCGGTGAGTATGAGTCTACCATCGCAGTCTTATTTATTTATTTATTCGACTTTCACTGAGTACATAACATATAAATATGATAAATAATAGGTGACAGTTAATGTAAATTGGTATAAGAAGAAAAAGGAAAAAAAAAAACGAAAATAACAATAGTGAGGAGAAAAACTCAGTGAGGGACAGTCATGACAGAGCAAGTTCCAACTAGGTGAAAGCCCAATAAAAATAATGGTGGGGGAGAATTTAGGCAAAATAGAAATAAAATAGATAATCCACTAAAATATCAAAATATGCGTATATAATATAAGAATTTACGTGTAAAAAATATATCTCAATTTTTATTTAAAGATTAAGAACAAGTCTGTAAGAATCAAACCACGTGTGAAATGAAAATTTTCAACCCCCCTTCAAATTTTGCATGCAGTTAGGCACTCAGGGGGATGCACAAAAATGCCCTTTTTAAAGTTGCAGCACTCTTGTTGCCATGGTAACAACGGCTGCTTGTGCGAGGCCTGAGGCCTCATTTTCATTAAAAAAGTCGCAAAAAAAGAGTGAAATGTTTATTTCTCTATCTCAAGCTAAATACAACATTACAAATTGGCACTTCTACCATGCATAGTGACATCATTCGTCTTTACTTTGATACATTTAATTTTCCCTGGGAGTGAATGTGAACAAACCAATAGATTATTAATCTCGGTACAGTTTCGGTCATTTTTGTCGTCAGGTAAAACTTTTTAAAAATTTTCATTTCTCAAGATGTTTGATCCTTACAGAGACTTTTTCTTATTAATTATTAATATCTACTAAAAACAGCACTTATGAAAACTGGTTAAATTCCTAATGGAGGAGCACTTAAGACACAATGATTTCCAATTATAAACAATATCCTGATCAAACGTTTCAATAAGTGCTTTTTTATAATATTTAACTGCAGCTGCTTTGAAAGCATTAGTGCTAGGTAGGGTTCTTAGTGACAAAGACAAGGAATTCCACAATATGTTCTGCATTTTAAAGGCTGATAGTCTAAAGACTAGCTATGACAAGTGGACCTGGTTATGACTTTAGGTTGGACAAACTCTGTAATGTCAATGTTATAAATGCCATTAATGGCCTTAAAGAAAAATACTAAATCCCTGATTTCATGCCAGAAAGAACTGGTTAGAGGTTCAGTTTAATAAGTCTTTCCATGTAAGGAATCAGGGCATCTGGATACCTTAAGATATACTTTGTTGCTTGACGTTGAACTCCCTCAATTGTGCGTAAACCACCTATGCGCAGAGGCGTCCACACTTCATCAGCATAGCCAAGGTAAGATCGCACCAGGCTCAGATACAGAGAGTGCTTAACTGACATTCCAAAATGAGGGTCAGATGATCTGTAAAGTAACCCCAGTATTTGGTTGGTTTTGGATGATGAGGAAATGATGTGGGAACTCCATTTGAGATTGTTGTTAACAACAACACCGAGATCTTTTTGGGTGTTGGTTTGAGAAAAAAACGTGATTTCTAATATTAAAGGTGCCTTGAATTGGAGATTTCTTTTGGGTTACACATACAGCTTCACACTTGTCGAGATTGAACTTCATTCGCCATCTAGTAGACCAGTCGAACACTTTATCAATATCCTGTTGAAAGTTAGTTATGTTTTGGATTCTCATGAAGTGACACTTGAAGAGAGTCTATATAGTCGTAGTAGTTATTGTTGATTAGTGGCTTGCATTCACGATGTAGAGCACAGAATTTTTAATGTTAGTACTCACTGTTTGTCTTTTTAGCTTTATTTCCAGCATTGTTTTTTCTTTCGTCGCAAGTGGATAACTTGACCATCGATCCATGGTGGAGAGTTGATAACTGTAAGTTTAACTTTTGTTACATGTTTGTCAACCAGGGACATAAGTTGAGAATACCAATTCTCAAAGTCCTGTGTCACCGTTAAGTTAGTAGAGATCAGGTCAGTCAGGTTGGCATTGTGTAACTTTTTATTGAAGGTTTCAAACTCAGTTTTGTTGAAGTTATAAACAAAACGGGATTGTTTTGGTAATTGAGGAATGCAGAGAGTAAGATTGAATGTAACCAGGATATGGTCTGTGGGGAATGGCAAAACACTTTCATCTATTGTTTCGATGTTATGAATTGAATCAGGTTTGTTAGAGATAATCAGGTTTAGGTTTGTACCAGACTTCTCGATTTCCCAGAATCTCTTTAAACTGTTGTCAAGTCACAGCAGAATTATTTTCCCTCACTTCAAATAGGTTCTTTAATGAACAAGGAACAGACAACATGAGATCGTGTTCTCGTGGTCTCGTTTTTGTCAGGTGCACCATTACAGCTCCACCCAAGTGGTCTGAGTCAGGTGATAGGTCCACCATTTTTTCCACGGAGATCAAAAGATCGACAAGTCCATCATTTGCTGGCTTGGGAAAATTGCACTAGGTCAGATGCAGCCATTTATTCTGATGGTCGTTCCAGTTCACAACTCTGTAATTGACTTTCTGCAGACACGTTCTTGCACTTATTTCCTTTGAAAACGTGCCATCTACACTTTTGATTTCAATTTTTATTAGCATGGACTGAAATGTTTTGATGGTGTCATTGAGCACATAAACTTTAATTTTTGCTAATGGCTCTTGCAGTCCCAGCATCCTAGCAACTGCTTCATTTAGGAAAGTTTCGTACGATGCATCATCTAGGAAGCCTTTTATATTTATCTCCCATTAGCCTTCATCCACACAGGGACAGTTTGTAACGAATAAGACTCAGTCGGCGTTTCTGCATTACATCGTCATTGGCCCAGTTTCTGACAAAACTTTGCTTCCATGAAGAAGGCAGTGGTGATTTCCAGAACAACCATCCATTCCACCTGGGCAATCTTTCCCCTTATGATCAGAGGCTAGGCAACGAAAACACAACTTTTTTTCTTTAGTGATCTTCCAGCAGTCATGCACTCTTCTGTCATAAAACTCCTTGCAAAACCACACCCCATGATCGAAACTCTGGCAAAGAGAACATGGAGGCTTTATACTATTTAACTCTTTTCCTATTGCAGCAGTATGAAAATTTCGCATCCTGCTTTGTTCCTGGTAACTCGGTACTCTCACTACTCTTGGTGGTCTAAGGTGCTTGACAGGTTTCAGCTCAATTTCGTTCGCCATTTCTGCTGCTTCTATTTGGAATCTGACTTTGTCTTTCAACCAGTCTCTGAAAGCTATGACTGATTTTTGTCTGGCGCGTTCATTCAACTAGCAACTGTAATTTTCCAGCTGGCGATCAGGCAACTTTTTCAACAGCAAGCTGTGAAGAGTTCCATCTTCTAACTCGCCATCTCTTCTTTTGGCCTGTAACTTTACCACTAATTCTAACTAGGTCAACAAACTTCTCCAATGTGTGAATGTTGTTACTTCTTATTAACGGCACTTGGCGTGTACCTCCATACTTCATTTTAGTATCTCTTTGGCCTCCTCTTATTCATGGACGGTGACTCCGAGACCGTGCATTCCCTGTGAGGCATTATTGCAGCCTTGCCATCTTCAAATTTAAGCCTGGTTTTCACTAGCTACACAAGCACAAGTGCAAGCACAAATGCAAGCAGAAGGTAATTATGCCAAGTGAGCTGATAGAATGAAATTCAGTTTTATACAAATTGTCCAAATTGTCTTGGCTTTTATCACCTCAGACTTTTAGATATTTATGCATGAGCCCAGAAAGGTTCAAACATTTATTGACCCTGGTTGGCCCCTTAATTACCAAGAAGACTACTAAAATGAGAGAGCCCATTTCTGTTGCAGAACGCTTAACCCTCACATTGCGCATGTTGACCAGTGAGGATGATCAACAACCATTAGCTTTCAGTTATTGCCTTGGTAGGACCACTGTCAGCCACATTCTGAGGGAGACATGCAGTGCAATTTAGAAGGCCCTGGGAGACATTCATGTAGGACCACAAAGTTCACCTGACCACTGGAGAGAAATTTCAAAGGAATTTGAAGACCTGTGGAATTGAATTACGGTCAGGTTGCCGATGGTTCAACTCGCCAACGCCAACTTGCCAACCCATAAAATCGAGTGGAAATGTTGGCAGTTTGGTCTTCAATCCAGTACAACTTATTAGAAGTTAAACATGTAGAAAAGTAAAAGATCTTTTGTAAGAAAGCAATTTTTTTCTTCTTCCAACAAAGTCTATAAAGACATCATGGTGAATAAAGCAGGGAAACAAGGCCAATGACTTAGAAAGCTCAGACGCGACCAAGATATTGTGTGACAACAACACTGCAAAGACTCTTCGTGTCAATCGGTCAGATTTTTTTAAAGAAAACTTGGCTTTCTGGACAAGATCTTCAGTTCAAAAACAATTCTTTTTCCGACAAAGTTTATAAGGATGTCAAGGTGAATAAAGCAAGGTGAACATCGCCAATGACCAAAACAGCTTTAGATGCGAGCAAGTTATTGTGAGACAACAACACTGTAAAGACTCATCATGTCAATTGGTCAGATTTAAAAAAAAAAACTTGGCTTTCTAGACAAGATCTTTGGTAATAAACAATTCTATTTATTTCTAATAAATTTTTTAAGAATGCCAAGGCAAATAAAGCAGGGTGAACATCGCCAACGACCAAAAAAGCTTTAGATGCAAACGAGTTATTGTGTGACAACTAGCGAATTGTTTTTTACGAACGATCTTGTCTAGAAAGCCAAATTTTCTGAAAAGAAAATCTGACCGATTGACATGATGAGTCTTAAATTTTGTTGGAAGAAAAAAAATTGTTTTTTTTTTTTTTTTACCAAAGGTCGTTTACTTTTCTATATGTTTAACTATTAATAAGTTGTACTGGATTGAAAACCAACTCATCGACGTTTCTACTCGATTTTATACATCGGTGAGTTGGTGTTGGGGAGTTGAACCGTCGGCGACTCGACCGAATACTGTGGAATTTACCTCACTGTCTTGGTGCAACTAATGGAAAACATGTTAATATGAAATGTCCAAATAATAGTGGATCTTTATATTACAATTATAAAAGCTTTTTAAGCCTTGTATTAATGGCAATTTGTGATTCTCACTACAATTTTACTTTGGTAGATATTGGTGACTATGGGAGCAGTAATGACAGTGGTGTTTTATCACATTTCATATATGGGAAAAGCCATTGAAGATGGCTCAATAAATTTCCCCAAACCTGAACACTTTGGAGGGTGTTATGTTTCCCTGTTACCTTACTTTTTGGTTGGAGATGAGGCCTTTTCCTTAAAGCCGTGACTTGAACGTCCCTATCCTGGGAAGTCATTGACTGAATGCAAGCGGATATTTTATTACAGGTTATCCAGGGCAAGGAGGGTAATAAAGAATACCTTTGGTATTTTAAGAGCAAGGTGGAGGGTGTTTAAAGGTCCAATTTCTGCATCTTTTGACACTGTAGAGCTTATAATTCAAGCAAATGTTTGTCTCCACAACTGCCTGAGGCAAACTGAGACAGCTTTGTATTGTCCATCTGGATTTGTAGACAGTATGGACCAAACAGGAAACATAAAGCCTGAGGAATGGAGAAGTGTGGTGTCTGACTCAGACACAGGTGCCCTGGTTGGGTTAAATAGAGTGAGAGGTTCTTGTTATACAGATTCAAGAATCATTGACTGATTACTTTAATTCTGAGCTAGGGGAAGTGCCTTGGCAGTGGGCATATGTAAGAAGTTCTGGCGCAGTTGCTACATAGTTGTATATGTCTGTGTTATGATATATGCTTGATGTTTTCCATAGATTTGCTTGAGTTTGTAGATGAATAAATTAATGGTTTACTTCTGTTAATCACAACATTAATTTCAGAGGCAACAACACTGCTTACCTGTAAGTGTCATATTCAGACTGGCACTAAGACCAACTTATTAAAGTGTTTAAAAGTACTGAAAAAGAAACAACTGTTCCAAGCTTCAAATTTGTTAGTAAGTAAAGCATTTGTACAATCTCTCATCAACATCTAAAAAGTGTCAACGGCATCCATCAAACTGTGCATTCTCTTTATGCTTTTATAATTACTTTTGACACTACACAAGGATGCAATCATGATTCTCCAAGGCATCATCATTAAATATAACATCCAAAAAATCTCTGACATTTTGCTGACCCAAAGCCATGAAAAAACAAGCTAACAGCGAAGCACCTCAATGCCTGGTATATTTGATCCATGACACACCATATAAACTGAAAACTATACCTGCAACAAATACACCAGCACAGAAGCAATAATGAGACTTTTTATTTACTTGCCCAATTGCAAAATAAACAATGTTACGTACAAGTCCATGCTACGTTTAAGTAACATTACAGCAACTAGCTGAAATATTCACTCAAAAATGAATTGTAATAATATTAGTATGCAGTTACAAAATCAAAGTTATAGGCATTTTGTTCACCCACTAAGTTGAAAAATAAACAATCTTGTGTTCAATTACATTAATTTGAAACTTTGACTAAAAGAAATTAATTTTAACACCTGTTATAATAGAAGTATCCCAAATAAATATAAATACAAAATTCAATCGACTCTAGTCAAATTATGAATAAGGTTGCCATGGTTGTTCTGCTCTGTAATTTGAAGAGCACATTTGATATGGTGAACCTCCACTGAAACATTTGAGAATGAAACAATTTAAGATGTGAGGAATCCTGAATTGAAATAATCACGTCCACCATTTGTCTTTACATTTCACAAGGGAAGAATTGCAAATCATTCATATTACCTTTCGTCATGCCCATTGTATCACCACCTTGAAACCAGGCTTGTGTTTTCTTCTTTTTGTCTTTAAAATCTGTACACCCCTTGTCATATAAGACTCCATAGTTGCGAACAACCTCGGAAAACTTTTCATGAAAGTCTTTAGGGACAGCTTCGACCATTTTGTTGAAATGCTCAAGTGTGGGGGAAACTGGAGCGAGTGAGTACCTGATGGCCGCCTCACCACCTGTGTATACAGGAAGCTCACGCACACTTATCAATACTTAGCATATGATTTACATCACCCTCAATTCCTTTAGAGCATCTACGAAAACCATTGGACTACAGTACCCACCTTTGTTTTCTAGGACTGATAATTAACTTGGCAGCACCTTGTTGACTATTCCCTCAAAGAAAATTTGAGATTGTAGTCTAACTGTTAAAAATATTTTATCACTCTCATGTTTTTCCAAAATGGCACACTTAGCTCTATGTCTTCACATTTTGAATGCTATTTTACTTGTGTCTCTTTTAAGGGAATAGCTTGCTCTAATGATACAGCCAAAGTACTTTCACAAATGGAACCTGCACCAAGAAGAGCCTTCAATGTCAAATATCAAACCTATTGTGGGTGATGACCATCACATAATTGCTGAGCTGTTGTCAATTTCTCCTTTGGAAGTTCCAGTGGCTGCATTTTCAACCAAGAGATGCTTTAAATAAGTCACTGGTTTTGATGGAACTGCCTTTGCTTGTGGAGATTATGTGATTGCATTAGTCAATGGGCAGGGAACTGTCATCCAGCAGCAAGAATTTGTGTCTTTCCATAGTGAAGGTTTTTTGTAGGTTATTGGGCCAAGGAATTTGTTATCCATTACAACTAAGAGACAATCATGAACCTGACAGAAACTTTTGGAGTGGTTTTGTTAAGGTTAAATGCCAACCTCTTGCCAACTCCATGGTCTTTTTGGTTGAAGATATTTGCAGGAAAGTAGTTCTCTATCCAAGTGATCACAATTTCTTGACAGAAGTTGATTACACGTAACAATTCAAGCAACTTCCATTTACCTTAATTGTATCTGTATATCCTGAGGTAGGGGACATGATACTTATTCAAGGTGAATCTAATGGAGGCATTTGGCATGGACACATTCAAAGTGTTGACTTTATTTACAAGACAGTGGATGTTTACTTCTATGTCTATGGCAAGCCGATTGTAAATATTGCAATATTCAATAATTTTATATATATTCAATTCAATATTTATATTTATGAAATATTTTTTTCATTTGTTCAATTTAATATTTGAAAATATGGAATATTCTTAAATCCATTTAATTTAATATGTTTATATTTATTTAATCTAATCGCTCTATATCCATTTAATTTAATCCATATATATTCATTCAATTCAATCCGGAAAAATATATATTTAATCTCGAGGACTGGGTCGAGCCATCGGATCAGAAAGAAAAGGGGCTGGGAAAGAATCATTGCGAGAACATAATGACGGACGAGGAAGATTTTGACGTTGGAAGAGACCTACCGGCGTTTTTAGCCTCAGTATTAGACAAAGCGGAACATATTTGCCAAAATGATGTGGGTGAAGGAGCTGCCGAAGCGCATGCTGAAGTTATTGATCAGAGTATCAGAATGCTTAGATCGATACGAGATTGTCGTGGTATTGGAGTAAGTGACAAAGAGGAGCTGGATTCACTTGCAGCAGCATTTGCGGATGTGTTGTCATCTTTAAATCATCACATTGCAATTAAATCTGTCACCCTAGAAACTACTGATGAAAACTGTTTTGCCCCAGGAAAGGAGGAAAAGGAAACTCCTGGAAGACCACGTTTTGACATTCCTGCTGAGATGTTGGAAGAATTGCGTGAATTGGGATTCAGCTGGATTAAGATTAAAGAAATGCTGGGTGTTTCAAGATGGACGATTCACAGGAGAGTAGAACAATATGGTTTTTAAAATATGACAGGATTTCATCATCTGCCTGATGAGGAACTAGACGAGATCGTGAGAGGCTTCATTTCCGACCATGGACGAACTACTGGACAGGGCTATGTTGAAGGTTACATAAAAACACTTGGCTTAAGAATTCAAAGAAAAAGGTTAAGAGAAAGCATGGCAAGAGTAGATCCACAGAATACTTCACTTCGATGGGGTGTTGTTGTTTCACGTAGGACTTATCAAGTACCGTGGCCGAACTCCCTGTGGCACTTATATGGACATCATGCTTTGATACGCTGGAACATTGTTGTTCACGGAGGCATAGATGGCTTTTCAAGAAGAATAATAACGAGCGTAAGATCCGACGATGGCAGACACCTAGGACGGCAGACTCGGTCAAGGGGGCTTGGGGAAAGGTTGCCGTTCCAATGGCGCAAAAAGTAGCCTTAAGATAGCGCGCGCGACGGCGGCTGTAGTGGCTTTCCTCTTTGAAGTTTAGGAAAAGCGATGGCTACCTTTAGAAAGGCTCGTGAATTGTTGATCGCAAGTCTCGATGATGGCGACATTTCAGAAGATGAATTTTTACTGTTATATGATGCCAACATTTCAAAGAATCTCGATTATCCTTGCCAGAATTATGAAGATTTTGACCTGGAAGGACTCGGGGAAAGTGAGTGCTTGGCAGAATTTCATTTCCAAAAAGGGACATACCAATTCTCGCAGACGTAAAGGGGCTGCTTGATTCGTATTGATGTGAACAAGGGACTGTATGCGATGGAATTGAAGGCCTTTGTCTTTTGTTAAGAAGATTAGCGTACCCTTATAGGTACGGTGACCTAATCCATCGTTTTGGCCGCCCACTACCAGAAATTTGTATGATCGCTAATTATGTAATGGAAACTGTGTACAGCTTACATCATCACCATCTGACAGCATGGAACCACACCTTAATGGGCCCCCCTCTACTTCAGAGATATGCTGATGCCATACAAAGGAAAGGAAGTCCCCTGCCAAATTGCTTTGGCTTCATAGATGGTACAGTAAGACCCATTTGCCGACCACAAGAAAACCAAGGAATTGTGTACAACGGACACAAAAGAGTCCACGGATTGAAATACCAATCTGTTGCATTGCCCTGTGGTATAATAGCCAACATGTATAGGCCAGTAAGTAATGGAAATTATTCCTTTCAAGTTTTAGCAGGAGCCCAAGTAATGGGCTCCTGGTTTTAGTCACATTAGAACCATCTGTCACACGATAAATCCAAACAGAATGATAAATAGGTGAAAGCAGTTTTTAGCGTGAAACATATCAAATAGTATAAATAAAATATACATTTTTTTTAAATTACAGAACACAATTTTCAATCAAAATGTGCATTTTCTTCCAGAGGGCCACAACCATGATGCTGGAATGTTAGCTGATTCTGGCCTTCTGCAAGTCCTTGAACACCATGCTTTTTTGCCGACTGGTAACCCCATGGCCTTATATGGTGACCCTGCTTACCCATTAAGAGTTCACCTTGTTGTGCCATATCGCACGGCAGGTATCACTCCTCAGATGGAATAGTTTAACAAGTCCATGAGCAGTGTCCACATTTCAGTAGAGTGGCTTTTTGGGGATATTGTTAACTATTTTAAATTTGCTGATTTTAAGAAAACTCAAAAGATATCATTGAGTGCGTTGGGAAAGATGTATATTGTATGTGCAATTTTAAGGAGTGCCATGACTTGTTTGAATGGCAATTTCACATCAAATTTCTCTGACATTGACCCACCAACCCTTCAGGATTATTTTTCCTAACAATTAAAACTATTTGTACCCTGGAATGAATTTCAATGATAAATTCATGTGAAATACACAATTAGTCAATAAGATGTAACAGTGTATGTCTGCAACCTGCCAATAAACTACTGTTTAAAGTTTTGGTATTTATTCTTTAGTATTTGTAGTCAGGTCAACTGATGTATAACAACAACTATAATTAATGTAAGAAGGGTTCAGAATCCATTTCAGAGGGTACAAGGTATAATAACACCAGGGTGAGAGCAAAGGAGAATGGGGAGCTTCCCAAAAAATGCACAGAGAATGTTCCAAAATTGCAACAGACCCTTCCCCCCCCCCGTCAATCCTCTCTAATCATACAAAAACGTAGTCAAAAGGCCTTAAAATTTGAACAAAACAACAGCATTTAACGCATTCAGTTACTCAATGTTTTTCTAAAAGTCTCAAAATGATTTGTGACTGCTGTTGTTTCACGGCAACAAACATCTGTTGAAACTGTTGCATTTGATTCTGTTGCTGCTGGACTTGCTGGGCCATCATTTGCATCATTTCTTGATGTTGCTTTTGAGACTCATTTTGCTTTCTTCTCTCTATGTCCAGGCGCTGCATGTGCAATTCCAACTTTTCAGCTTTCCATTTCTGAACCATATCATTCTTCTCACGCAGATACGCCACTGTGTCCCCACCACTCCTCCTTGTGACTTTTCGCTTAGGTTGTGCATTCTCTACATCCTCGACTTCATCACCATCCTTCCTTTTCTGTGTTGAACGCATGCTCTCCATTGCTCTATTCCGCATCTCGACAGCTTTGGCACTATTCTCTTTTTTATTGTCAACTTCCAGACTATTTTCAGCATCAGCCTCCTTTTCCAGTATTTCCTCCAAAGCTTTCTCAACATCATTCATGTCAGTCTCAATGCCACTAGCCTTTTTCTCTTCTTGTAACTTTTTCTTTAATTTTTCAATGAGTAGTGTGTAATGCTCTCTCACTGAGCGCTTGTTAACTTTAAGTCTTGGAATTTTCAAGGAGTTGAGATTACTGGCAATTTTTTCCCAGATCTGCCCTCTTGCGATACTTCCCTTTTTAGCTTTAAAGGGTTCTCGAGCCAGAATTTCTTGAAAGAGAGAGTGGTCATGATCATCTGTTCACTCCATGTTAGATCTACATTTTAAGAAAATATAATATAGATATTTAATAATCCTGGTGAGTCTGCTAACTAAGCTTCAATTCCAACTACTTAGTTCAGTCCAGAACTCTCCAAAGTAAATCAGAGCAGTCTTGTTTATGTATGTTGTGGTTAAAATTTTTGTTTGCGAGTTTAAAAATGCTCAAACCACGTTAAGTTTTTGTTTCCCTTTTTCTCAGGTTATGGTAATAGATGCAAGAAAAAGGATAATAACAATAAAAACAGAATAAAGAATGAAAACTGGTTTAAAACTTTTCAAATTGACACTGGAAAAATTTGAATCACAACATCGACATGTATGCAAAGCAGCATAATACAGGTATAAACTTATCATTATGATAAATGTTTAACCAATTTCCGGCAGCAAATTTTTCACGCTTAATCTAGGACGTTTCTTTATGGCTGAAAAAACATTACTGAAACTGTTGATTATAAAAATGTTCTCAGATGATCCTTGTTGTTGAACTCGAGAAAAGACAGATTGAACAATATCATGGCCATCAATTTATGCACGAAGAAGGCTACGAATTTTTAATTGAAATAAAGAAATTATTAAACTTACTGGGTTGCTTTCTTTGTTGACATTGAGCCAGTACTAGTAACGAACTGTTTATGAGAAAGGCAAACGAATAAAGTTAAAATTTCCTCGAACAAATAGTTTATTTTTGCTTGGCTATCTCACAGACATCCTCTCAACAATAAACAGTCAAAATTGCCAACAATTTTCGCTCAAAGTAAGTTCAAACGGCGTTATTTTGCTAAAGTTTACTCACGTTTTAGCCGCGACGGCAAAATGGCCTCCTTCACGTTACAGACAAGGCCGCTACGGCGGGAAACCTCACAACAACGGCAGCCGGAAGTAATTCTGGCGGTAACTTCACTTCCGCTTGCCGTCCCAGATGTCTGCCGTTGTCGGATCTTAAGCTCATTAATGTTTCTGAGATGTAACTCAAACAGTCGTGCAGAAACTGTACTTAACCTGTTCTTAGATGCCATAAATCGTGATGGAAACCTTTGGCCATCAAGAATAAGAGTTGATAAGGGTGTTGAAAATGTCCTAGTGTGCGATGCCATGGTTCAAGCTAGGGGGGAGGGAAGGGGGAGTTTTATTGCTGGTCCTTCTACACACAACCAACGCATTGAAAGACTGTGAAAAGATGTTTTTCGATGTGTATGCCACCTTTATTACTATCTATTCTATGCTATGGAGTCCACTGGTATCCTCAACACAGATAATCAAATTCATTTGTTTGCTCTTCACTTAATCTTCATTCCAAGAATCAACAAAGCCCTTGATGAGTTTTTTAAAGCCTTTAATCACCACAAGGTTCGTACAGAAGGAAACTGGTCACCATACCAAATGTGGACAAATGGCATGTTCCATGCTGACAATCCACTATCACATGGGTTACTAGACGAAGAGCCATCTGAGATGGAAATATATGGAAAATGACCCCCAGGGACCATCTCCCACTGAAAGAGATAATCATGTTGTCATTGACCCTGTGGATCTTAGCCATGGAGATTTACTGAAGTCATTTGTTTTCGAACATCTGGATCCACTGAGACCCTCAACTGAAATGGGTGCAGATATCTATACAGAAGCTTTAGAACTAGTATTTCAGAGACTTGAACAACTTGTTGATTCTGGAATATATGTGCCACAATATTATTAATGGAGTATTGCTTTATTAACTTCAACTTTATCAACTTCGACTTTAATAATATTTTAAGAACTCAACTCTTAATCCTTTCACTCCCAAGATTTCATTAATAATTCTCCTCACTGTCTGTCATACAATTCTTATAAAGTTAGTTTGGAGAATTTGGTATTGGATCAACCAATTACCCCCAATTGATATTTTTCTTTATTCTCACCACTTTTCTGCTCAATATTGTATCATTATCTTCTACCTTGGTCACTGATGAGAGTGAAAGGTTTAATAGATAATAGGTAACCCTTACTGGGAAATGGAACTTTTAAACCAGTAACTGCAGAAAAAAATTGTACAAATAGCTTTTTGAATAATGTAGCATTTGCTTGTTAGGCAGCTAACAATAGTCTTGAACTGTGCACTATGAGTACTGTTATGATCCTTAATCATCAAATTTAAACATTCTCTAACTTCATGCCAGTTTAAAAAACTAGTATTCCCCTTTCTTATACCTTCATCTTAAGGTGGCTAGTAGCAGTTTCCAGCTCCTATAGTATGGTGCACTAAACATTTCTCAGTTACTGTTACAATACTGGCATCAAACAAAATCCTAATCAGTACGGAACCAAAATGTGGTTGTTTCCTTAACACTACTAGTTACCATAACGATTATAACAGCATAACCTGTTAAAACACCCCTTAACTCAAAAAAGAAGTTCAGTGATCTCTATTTGTTAGTATCGAGTTATTATTTACATGTTATGGTAAGGGAGTTTTAAACAGGTTATGGTAACCAGTAACAACAACAAGTTATTCATCAATAAAAATCAGTTACAAAACTCAGAGTGTTGACTCCACAACCTACATAACACCGAAATAGCTATTCTTGAAAGTTAGGTCATACAGTTCGAACAGTTCATTATCTGATGGGAGGGGTAAAACTGCATTTCCTCTAGGCAAATCCAATGTGTTTGAACAGGTATGACAAGTTGGAATGAAATGCCAAATGGGTTTTTTCTTTTGAGGTGGTTTTTCTGATTCCCCAGTTCCCTAGTGAAAAAAGAAAATCGTTTGTAATAACTGTAACCATGCACAAGTATGTAGTACAAAGATATCAATCGGAAAGTAACAATCATGATTATTAGTAACTCATACACAGATGTTCTGTATGTATAATAAGATAAAATACACTGTATAAAAGTTTCCTTCAACAGGAAGGAAATGACTGCTAATATTGGCTTTTACAAGTCAGTGAAACTTAAATTATGTTAAATGCTTTCATCACCACACCCGGTTTTGCACATTTTACCTGCCATATTTGCAATCCTATATAAAAAACTTTTCAAAAACTACCCAAACCTGTACCTAATGCTTATATATTACCTCATCTGTAGTCATGGGCTCTTTAACTTCAGCTACTGGAAAGTGAATTTGTGGTGTCTTTGCAAAACCAAGGGGTGGTTCTTCACTTGTTCCAGTGACAAATTCAAGGATGTTTCCAAGGGTGACAACTCTGCGGCCACTTGACACATCTCTAACATATTTAACAAATTTGCTATAAATAGCTGTATGTATAATCTTTATTTAAGCACGAAACAATTCATCAGCAATTACATTAACTAAAACTATTTAAAAATTAAAACACTAACTAATAACTAAAAGCTGTTTTCCGTGAATGCCGTGCGTTATAGAGTGGCATTGATCTTGCGTTTAAATAACCCCAGAGTCTCTGTGTTCCTTATATCACATGGAAGACTATTCCATAATGTGGCTCCACTATAGCTAAAGCTTTTTCGATAATAGTTAGTGCGAGGTAGAGGAACATTGAGTTTATTTTCAGAGTCCCTGAGGTCATAAGCAGAGTTACGCCATCTAAACTTAGAATTAAGATATTCAGGAGCTAGCCCGTGCAGACATTTGAAAACCATGGTAACTCTATGAATTTCCTGCTGGCTTGTCAGATTTTTCCAACTTAAAAATTCAAGTAGCTTAGTTGCATCGGCATCATAGCTGGAAAATGTCAAAACACGGGCTGCTCTAATCTGTAATTTCTGCAGCTTATCTCGTAGCGTTATCCCACAGCTACCCCAGACAATGTCACAGTAATCAAAGTGAGGTTTTACTAAAGCTTGGTAAAGCAGATGTAAGGTCGATGCTGGGATCAGATGCCTGACTCGCTTTAGGCACCCGATACCAGAGGCAATCTTTTTTGTTAATTTTTCGATGTGACTATGCCAATCGAGCCTATCGTCTATAATCACACCAAGCGATTTTGTAGAAGTAACCTGGCTCACCTGAGTGCTGTTCATTCTAATTGTTGGTGAAGCTGTGAGAGTACCCAGTCTCTGCCTTGACCCTATTAGCATGAATTCAGTTTTTGTCATATTCAGTGTGAGTTTATTCGCTTGTAGCCAGTTGAAAACGTTTGTTAAGTCCTCATTCAGACAAAGCTGTATACTCTCAAGATCACCGCCCGCATATGTAAGGTGTGTGTCGTCAGCATACATCCTCGGCTCACAATTTGATAAACAATTTGGAAGATCGTTGATATACAATAAAAACAATAGTGGACCGAGGATGGTCCCCTGTGGGACGCCGCAAGTTAATGAGCAGCTGCTGGACAGCGACCCGTTCACAGAACATTTCTGTGTGCGGTTTTCCAAGTATGACTGAAACCATTTGAAAGATTTGCCATGTATACCATAATAGGTTAATTTCGATAGGAGGATCTGATGATCAACAGTGTCAAAAGCTTTTTTCAAATCTAGAAAAATGACTCCATTGATTTTCCCGTTGTCAATATTATATGCCCAAGAATCTGTCGCTTCCAACAATGCTGTTACAGTTGAATGAGTAGCACGAAACCCTGATTGATTTTGATATAGAATATCATGTTCTTCCAGATAGGCATACAATTGATCGTAAACTATCCTTTCAAACACTTTCGCCACTATTGGAATCACCGATATTGGGCGGTAATTGTTGACATCATCGCGGTTATCCTGTTTAAAGAGAGGTGTAACCCTTGCATATTTCCGATCATCTGGGAACTTCCCTTGGCTAATAGATTGATTGAAAATATCACATATCGGCACACAAATAAGGTCAGCGCATTCCCTGACAAACCTAGCAGATATTGTGTCAAGGCCCGTTGATTTTGACTTGTCTAGTTTATTTAAAAGTGAAAATACTTTATTTGGATTAGTAGGTTGGAGCTCAAACCGTTTATCTGTACCGGCAAGATATCGTTGATAGCTACTACTATCACAATCTATCTCACTGGTAAGTTTTGGACCAATATTAGCAAAATGGTTGTTGAATTCGTTTGATAGCTCCAGTGGATTAGTTATCGTTAATCCATTCACTTTTAGTGATGTCACTGACATTTTCCCAGATTTACGTGAAGTTAGCTCGTTTATAGTCTGCCAGGTCTTTCGGGAGTCGCTAGTGTGCTTGTTAAAAATATTTTGGTAATAAACTTGCTTTGCTAAGCGTACTTGCTTATTGACTAAATTTCTTTGTTTCTTAAACACTGCCCAATCGTTGGGATCATTTGTTTTGATTGCTTTGATTTTTAATATATCTCTATTATGCATCAAGTCTTTCAACTCAGCGGTAATCCACGGAGAACTTCGTGAACGAACGCGCATCGTTTTCAGTGGGGCGTGTTTGTCAGCGATAGCTAGAAATGTACATTTTCATTGCTGCCACATCTCGTTTGGGTCGGAAGACTCATATACATTATTCCAACATTGAAACTGAATATCATCTCGAAAATTTTGGCAATCGAATTTTCGGAAATTTCTGTATGTTATTGAATTATGTCCATTCGACATCCCGTTCAGAGCAAGTTTTCTATAAACATACACCATGCTATGATCACTTATCCCAACATGACAAACTCCCGAACAGGCGATCTTATCCGAGCAGTTGGTGTAAATTAAATCAATTAAAGTTGACGAGGTGGGTGTTATCCTCGTCGGTTCAGCGATGAGTTGCTCGAGTCCGTAGACATCAGCAATATTCTTTAATTTGGATGTATCATTGTCATATCGTGCAGTGACCATGTCACAGTTCATGTCTCCCAGTACAAAAAATTCTACATTTTCACTATCCAATTTCCCAATAAGGGATTTAAAAGGTGAAAAAATGCCAATAGGAGAGTCAGGTGGTCTATACCACGTAACAATCACAAAAGGTCTTGTTTTTGGCTTATGGATTTCCAAGCAAAGATTCTCTAATGCATCCATATGTAGATCAGATCGTACTGTAAAGTTGATTGAATTTTTAACGTAGAAGCATACCCCCCCGCCGCCTTTCGTAAGTCTATCGCGGCGAATTATTTCGTATCCTGGAATATGAACTTCGTGATCTTGAATGCTCTCGTTCAGTTTTGTTTCGTTTATAGAAATAATATCGATATCGTTGTTGCTAATAGGATTCTTAGTTCGTCTATATGTGTAGTTAATTGATTTATATTGAGTGAGGCCATTCTAAAGCTACACAAAGGTGGCAATATTGAGGCAGATTTTACGCCCCTTTGGCTGCTTGATCGATTTCGCACGGCATTGACGGACAGCACATTATCTCATTCTAGGTGCGATTTAAAATTATTATAAAACTGCACATTACCTTTAGAGTTTAAGTACAGTCCACCTTTGTTGAGTCCATTATAAGATAAGTTCTCATGATGAATTAATTTCCATCCGTTTTGATGGCAGAACTTCTCTAGATGCTTGTTGGCTGTTTTTACGGCCTGGTCAAGCTTATCTTTTCTGCATACAAGCTCCGACAGCGTGACTGTAGTATCGCAAGTGCTCTCGATCTGTCTCGCGAGGTCGACTATCGATTCGGCAACAGCCTTTGGTTCCCTGGTTTTAAGATCATTAGTCCCAATGTGTAAAATCACTTCGTTGGGCAAAATTCCAGACTTGGCTTGAGATAGTGATTCATGGCCTTTGTCGTAGCACCCGAGAAAGGCTTGACTATAACCCTATGGCCCACTGCTTTTCCCAGGTCTCTTCCAGGTATTCTTGAGATCATCGAATCGCCTATGAGCAGGGTTGTGCGCTCTTTCGGTTGTTTTGGATCTGTTTTGGTCGGTTCGGATTCTTTCCCTTCTGGGGTGTTATTAAGACCTCCTTTGTTTTTCGATTTCTTTCTTTTCTTCTTTGATTTCACAATGGAGTCTTGAGGTTTGTTGGCACAAGGTGTTGGCTCGTCCAAGTTTGGGTCAATAGTGCGTTCATTAGGGGTGTTATTGTGCAGCTGCTTCTCTAGATACGATTTGCAATGCAAAATTTAAAGAATCGCGTTCTTGGACTAACTTTTTATTTTCTTCCTTCAAAGAAAGAATTGTTTCCCGAAGTCGAGAATTTTCGGATCTCAGATCTTCCTCTTGAGGTTTCTCAACAACAACAACAACAACAAGTCTTTATTCCATCATAAGATAAAACTACATATCTTATGTTACAATGAATTGAAAAAAACTACAGAAATCTACATACATATTATGAATTAAAAAGTATATCATTACAATAAATGGAGCTTAAATATCAACCTATTTACAAATGTGTTCATAAAGCGCTGTGTATTAATTTTCGGGCGCGCGCAGCCTTTTTTCCTGAGATTGTGTAGATATGTCTTTTGGACAGGAATGATATCTTTCAGGGGGTGGCAATCCGTTGATTTTAGTTTCTTCAAAATGTTTCTGTCTTGTTTGTTTAAAAGGTTCTTGATAAAAACTGGAAATGAGATAAAACCGCGTTTATGACATCGGTCTAAAAATTTTTGTACAACCGTAAGATCGGACTCAGATGCCCCATAGACTGAAAGTGCATAGCTAAAATTAGCCAAAACAATCGATATAAAAAGATGATCAATCTCTGCCTGAGAGTAATGTTCCTTTCTCAATGTTCGTAGGACGTGTAAACACTTGTTTGCTTTGACAAGCTTAGTTCTTACATGCTCATCAAATTTTCCATCACTCTGTAAAGTTACTCCTAATAAAACGAAGCTATTACATTGGGGAATATTATTAATTGGAGAGTAGAGTACATTATGATTTTTCTTTCTAACAACCAGCTCTTTACATTTGCAAGGGTTGCAGACCATTCTATTGTCTTTACACCATGTTAAGAACTGTCCTACTAAGTCGGCAGACGGGTCACTATTCCTAGTGATAGGCGAAAGAATAGTGGAATCATCGGCATATTTAAAAAGCACAGGGCAACCATTAAAAAAAAATCCAAATCGTTCAAAAATATATTAAAAAGATACGGTCCGCTTACACTACCTTGTGTGGTTCCTCTATTGACAAGTTTCCACTGTCCTAAAAATTATAACTAACAACACGCTGTTGTCTTGCATAGAGGAAACTGTGATACCAATTGATAATGTACGGATTTAGAGGTAGCTGTTTCAGTTTGGCAGACAAAATAGCATGGTTCACAAAATCGAAAGCCTTACTGAAGTCCATGGTAAAAATTCGCACTGCGCTATAGTCACTACTATCTAAATACTTGTATGTCTGGTGCTGGATAGCGACATTTGAACCCCCGCCTGTCTATATGCAAATTGGGTGTGGCTCAGGTTGCTCTCAATGAATGAACATGTTGGATCCTTCCACTCCGAGTCCTCTATAGGCATGTTCATTTGGGAGAGGGTTAACAGTTGGGAGTCTTTGAGTAGACAGCGACAGATTCCAAACGTGAGTGACGATTGGTGTGAACGGGAGGTCGTCTGGTCCCGTTGCGGTTTTCTTTACATGAACTAAGGTATTCCAAGATATTTTCGTTTACACTGTCCGGGATATCCATGGTCTAACGTAAATCATAGCACAGGTTGGCGAAGTAGTCGTTCAGACGAACTAGAGAGTTCTTGTCCAAATTTATCAACGATGACCTGCGACGCTGCGATAGGGCGTCCACGCCCTTCCACCACTCACCGCTACCAATGGCAGCCAGTTTTCTTCTGTTCTCGGTTATCAGCTCAGAAATGCGCTTATTAAATAAAGACAGGCGTTCCTTATTCTTTAAAGATATATGGGACTTAGTCCTCAGCATACACTTGACTAATGGGGACATCCAAACTGGGTCACGCGATGACATGCGTACAGATTTTTCTCTTTTACATGAGCCCGTTCACCTCATGAATGAACATGTTGGATCCTTCCTCTGAGAATTCTGGTTTCAACAAGAACAAAAGATGTCGAACTGATAAACTGATTGCTAGATTGATGAATGCTAGATTGCCTCAGAAGATAAAGAAGCATAGGAAATTTCCTTCCAAACATGGGAATTCCTAAAGTATCCATTCCACCTATGAGCTCCCTGACACAAGAAGGCAGTTCCAGATCTTCAACAAAAATTGCCTGCAGTATTTCTTCAGGTATGTACACAGGCAACTGGTCATTTTGAAGCAGGGCAATACAGACCATTTGACCAATGTAATAGTAATCTTCAGACATGTGCTCTTTGAAGCCATTATCAAAGTAAATGTCTTTAATCTTGTGATTGCAAAGTCGGATCCATTCCTTGCGAGGCCCACCACTATCAACAGCTTGCTCACCATAAAACTGAACTTCAAAGGTGACCCTTGGATCAGCTACATGCTTTAGCTCCTCAAATGTAGTTTCCAGAATATTATGTCTATCTACAGTTATAAAATTGGTCTCTCCTTCTAGGATTCGTGATGAATTGGTTACCTCTAACGGTCTTCCAGAAACAATTTTCTTCTGCAGATATCTAAGCATCTCAGTTGGTTCCATTATGTCTTCTGGGAGCTCATTAACAACTCGGCTAAAGAAGTCATATGGACTTTCTGTTTTCTGCTCCTCCTCTTGTTGTACATGGCTGTTATAGAGAGCAGAGATGCCAGGGACGGCTGCTAAGCTGTGAGAGACAATACCAGAATTACCATTAGAGGTGCTGAGGAAAATTCCAGAAGTTCCATTGGAGGTGGTGGGGATGATGCCAGAAGTTCCATTAGAGACATTGGGAACAATGCCAGAACTGCTATTAGAGTTGCCAGGGACAATACCAGAATTGCCATCAGAGGTGTCAAGGACAATACCAGAAGTTCCATTGGAGGTGCCAGGGACAATGCCAGAAGTTCCATTGGAGGTGCTAGGGACTATGCCAGAAGTTCCATTAGAGTTGCTGGGATGGTGCTAGTCTCCTGGGCTCCAACTTGCAGCAGCTCAGAGTCAGAATTGGATGCATGGTTTTCGTTTACCACGAATTCAAAGCCCACTTTAATCCTGATATACAACAGACCCTGGCCAACCAATTTCTTCACTACATCGTAATTATACTCGGTTTGTTTGCTTAGATGCAAGACACTGATTCTTTTTTGAGTTACTTTCACGAATTCAAAATCGTTGGGTCCAATAACACAGTATTGCATCTTTCAGGTTGATGCAATCTTTTCTCTGACCTGCGCCTCGCAGCCTTGTTCACTGAGTGTAAACATACCCATTTCTACGACCATTTCTTTCTTTAAAAAATCATCTTCTGTATCATCTTCCTTGGAATTTAGAAGAGCAAACTCAAAAGGTTTTTCTTTGATCCTCTGCACAGCTCGCTTCGGTTTGCCTTTTGTTCCTCCTCGAGGAATCTGAGAGCGTAGTCTTTTGTTAGAGCCAAGTCTTCTAAAAGTTCCTCCATGCTGACTCCGGTCAATCATGTTTCTTGCTCAATTAACGCTTTCCACGACGCTGTGGAGCATTGATTGACTTTCCGTCGAACCTTCTGACAATACTGATGTAGATGGGGAATCCACTGTTAGCAACATATCCAAGGCTCGCCTTAAAAGGCCTGCTGCTTCGGCAATTTTGTCATTCATTGCCTTTTTGCACTGCAAGTATTCCTTGCTATCATTCCCAAGCCCATATCTTTCTGATCCGATAGCTTGACCCAGTCCCCGAGATGAAATAAATATTTTTCCAGATTGAATTGAACGAATATATACGGATTAATTAAATGGATATGGAGCGATTAAATTAAATGAATATAAACATATTAAATAAAATGGATTTAAAAAATATTCCATATATACATAAATATTAAATTAAACAAATAAAAAATAATTTACACAGATATAAATATTAAACTAAATATATATAAAATTATTGAATATTGCTACAATCGGCTTCCCATGTATGTCCCAAGAGATTTCCTAATGGTAATGTCTATGTAAGAGAAATTTGTGGCAGAGGTGCAAGAAATACTGTGGCTCGGAGATCAATGATTTCAATTGCTGAAGGCCATTGGGACAGTGCCTCAACCTGGGTAAAGGCTTAGAGTTAAGTAAGTGCATGTTCTCAATGTTTTTGATGCATACACATGCATTTGAATATGTGCCAGTACATAAAAGCAATTACATACATGTACAGGGCCTAGAGGTTACCATATTGAGTGCAAGTGCAAATTTGGGGATATGTTCCTATGTCCTTCCTAACTTTGGGATTTACTTGGGTACATATTCCCGTGGTATTCACAACTTTGAGGATACATGGGGATATTTTCCTATGTTATTCACAACTATGGGATTTACTTGAGTACCTTGGGGATTACATGGGGGTATGTTCTTATGTTATTCACAACTTTGGGATTTACTTGGGGGAAATTCCCATGGTATTCACAAAGTTGGGAATTACATGGGGAAATGTTCCCACGTTATTTACAATTTTGGAATTTACTTGAGTAATATTCCCATGGCATTCACAACTTAGGGAATTACCTTAGGAAATTTTTCCATTTTATTCACAACTTTGGGAGAAACATTGCAAAATATTCCCATATTATTCCCCACTTTGGGATTAAATTGTGGATGAAATCACAACATTTTTTCAATGTTAGGATACCAAGAACGGCAAAGCCTTTTCCCTCAGAAAAACCCATTTATGAGGTCTTGAGGGTTGACAACTTTCCAAAAGTATCCCAAAAAAGGAATTTCATGTTCCAAATATTTCCCAATAATGGGGAAATTCCTCATTTAATTCCCAAATGGGAATCTTAAAAAGTTCCCTGTGATAAGCAATGTGCTTTGCTAAACACAGCCTTAAGGCAACTAGAGACTTGCAACTATTCTGATCCTTTGTTATCCTCCTTCAATGATTTTTTAACTCTGCGTGCTGTCTTATTCAATGGAAGACATACATCCTTGTAATGAAGACAACATATGACGTTTACAATACTTATCTTCTCTCTTGCGTCTTCATTGTCGATACCATAGATTTATGATGCACATTTTCAGATTAGCTTTTCTTCTGTATCATTTTAAGTTGTAGGAAGGCTAAAGTTTTCAAACTGCATTTCCAACTATGTACATATTGCATACCTATTTTGTACAACTTGCAACCTCCTGTGCATGAGTCTGAGCTACCTAGGGCTTCCTGTTTTCTTTAATGTTCTTGCATTGGTTGGAAACACTGAGTGCATTGAACAGTACATAGTCTCAGGTGACTACTTTAATAAGTGTGAAAAAAGGGAAGTGTTATGGTGTTTGGTTTCCCTTCTCAAAAAGCATCTCCTCTAGTCACAACATTTTATTTTACAGGGCATTGTAAGCTAGTGGTAGTGCTTTATTTTATGGTTTGACATTTAAGTTCATAGTGCAAAGTGGAATTCTGGCTTTCCTCTATGTAACCCAGCTCTTGTTGTCTTCTGTGGCAGCCGAAAATATGATGAATGTGCAATGAGTTACCTTTGTGTGTCAATGTACATTTGGGGATTATCCAGTGTGTTTGCTGGGTGTATTTTTCTTCATTCTTCCTACCTGTTTGTTGCAATACACCAGTAATATATTATTTAACTTATTTTCTTTCTCTTTGCCTGTCATTTGTTTCAACCTTTCAAAGAATTGAGACATACCTGTTGATAAATTCATCAGGTTTCTTTATTGAGATTTTCTCTTTCATTTCTCGTTGGGCCTCTTACCTCTTCAATTTCGTGTTCTCTCTGTTTTCTTCTTTGATGTTCTTTTTCTTTACGTTCTTCTGTTTGGTCCCATTTTCCCTGTCTTTGAATACTTCAGGTGCTGTCCTTTTGTTGGAGTTAACGTGTGTAACTCTTACATCAAAAGATTGCCATAACTCCTCTTGACCAGAAACCTCCCACCTTTATGTCTAATCTTGCCTTAGAGCTTGTGACAGCACCTAGCTCTCAAATGTAGCCATTCGTTGTTGAGGGGTTGAAGGCATGGTTCAATTTCCACATTATTGCAGACCTTATTGATCAATGCCATTAATAAATCACAGACACCATCATGTCTTTGTGCTACAAAGCCCCCCTTTTTACATGAGAGGGCATGGCCTACAGTAAACTTATCCCCACACACACATAGACTTGGTAGATGGACTAGAGGCAAGTTATACTGTAAGCTTAGCGAGTCTCTGAACTCATGCTTGTTAAGGGCTAAGCCCTGATCTGTGAGAGGCATCGCATTTAACCAAGAACTTGTGCCCTTGTCTCTCGAGTGATTAACTAGTCACAGCAGATCTGGGGAAAAAGTTAAGTCAATGCTTTCCATTTCCTCTTTGTCACGTGCCCTCTTAAGTGACTGATGATGTCTCTTAACCTCCTCGGTAGAGCTTTCGCCTGGCACCATAAATATACTCTGCGATGTGATAGAATCTACGAGTGCAGTAGTTATTGACTTCGAGGCAGAAAACTGTTGTGGCGCCTCAGCTCTCAAATCTGGCACGCCCAGACCCCCTTAAGCCATCATCAAGGTGACAAGTAGATGCACCTCGTTAGTTCCCAAAGATGGGAGAAGTAGGTTGTCAATTGCCTTTTGGATTGGATCAATATGATCCTCAAAGAAATCTATAGTATGCATGAAGTAGGTGAACTTTGACTTGTACCCTTTTGTGAAGGCAATGTGCACTGTGAGAGGCTGACTCTTTGCAATTTCGGAGAGCTGTTCGATTTCCTCTTTTCATAAGCAAATTTTCTCCTCACAATACTGATCTTTGTATTCTTGCAATGCAATGACTGCTCCTAGATGGTGCTGACCTTCAGTTGTTATGTTGACTTAATCTCCAAACACTCTCTTTGCTTCATCTGCAAATGCCTCAGATTTAACAATCAGCCAGCTCTTTGACCCATTCACGAGATATCGAAACTTTTCTCCCTCTTTACTCAATTGCATGTATCATTTGTACAACTGCGCAATTCTCCCTCCTCCAGCAGAGTCGTCTGCAAGCCACACCTGTTTAACCATCAGGCAGTGTGCCCTTAGACTCTGAATCATTATAGATGTATTGACTGAGTACCATGGCATTGCAAGGGGATCCCCCTGTGTAGTGCCTTCTTGTGAAAGTATTTCACCTCTGCTGCAGATAAACAATCTAGATGGGCTTCTAAAGGTGTTTGCATGTACCGTAGCCTCCGCTCCTGCATTATGACCAGCACAAACTTGTCGGGAACCTGCCACTTCTTTTATTTCCTCCTTTAAGAAACCATTCACCATTTTCCCCACTATTTCCCTCAGGACCTCTCCAACACTGATTTGTCAGATTCCCGGGTTCTTGTCAAGTGGGATGAGCCCGCAAGATGTAAAGGTTTTGAGCAAAGATGGATGGTATAATTTCTTAAGCAGATTTCTCGTGAACACAACTATCTCTTCTCTTAGGATTTTACCCTCAGTCTTAAAGTTCCTAGAGCACAGAATTCTCCTGTACAGCTCCAAGTCCATTCACGATGGCATTGCTTTATTTCAGAAGGAAACACCACATAATCGGGCAGATTTGGTTTGATTTTGTTTTGATCTGTGACTATTGTACTAGGCAGTCCCATTGGAGAAGGTACTCGACCACTCTCGGTTGTTACTGGCCTATGCAAATCTGAGTTAATGGAAATAGTATTTTCAAACTGCTGTTGTGGGCTATTGTTTTGAATGTTTCACAAGTCGGCTTGAATATTATTTTCCAATTTCAATTTCAAACTCAATTTCTAACCTGTTCCCACTCTCGAATAACGTGCTAGTATTTTGTGTATAGTTCTGCTCTTGCTCCATTTTCTCCAATCTCGAGGCTTGATCCTGTAAATTCTGGCTTTTTAGCCCCAAGAATCAGTCTGTTTCACTTTAGCCTTTTTCCTCAACATATCTTGCAATGTTCCTTTTTAACTCGTGAATTACGCGCATGCGCAAGAGCGAGTTGTAGATACAATGTGGGGAACGGCACTCGCTTACTTGCTTGCTCGATTGGTCGATTCCTGTAAACTTTTTTTCGATTTTAGGCTTTTGAGTGCATTTGATAGTTTTTGGCGAGCAATAAACAAACGAAATGGCGACCTTTGTTGCTAAGAATAGTGGTGGGGTGAAAAAGAAGCCAATGATAATCTTAAAAGAGCTTTTTTTTTTCATTTTTGTTTCAACAAGCGGCGCCAGCGACTGGTAGGCATGCAAGGATTCACACTGAAATAACAGAACAACCTTCGTTTTTCATAAAATTGTAATTTACAATCCTTGAACTTGAAAACAATCCGAAGATTCATTGAAAATATCACTTACCGCAAAGCGCTCGGAGTTTACAGATGTTCAAAAGCTTTTTCTGTTATGGCATGAGATTGAGGTCAAAATTGATCATTTATACCTTTCGTCGCGTGTGTTTTTCCTGTGTGAAGCAACAAAAGATGCCGGCGACTGATGAAATTACAAGTTAACACGAAAATCAAATAACGCCTAAACAAACAATTTGAGCTACCGATTTTCTGTGAATTTTTAAAGAACAATTTTCTTTTAAGTTTCAAGACAATTTGAAGATTCAACACACATACAACATACTAAAATGCGAAAGTCATACACCACAAAATTGATAAATAGGCCTGAAATGAAATTCTATCTTGTTATTGATTATATGTTGCCTAGCACGTGACTTAAATCTACCCAGGTGGAGATCCAAAATGATGGTGGCAGGCTTGGCCTTGATAAAGAGGGAATCGTTGATGTTTTCATTAAGACAGTATTGCCTTGATTTTCTAATATTTACAATGATAGACAGTAAATTTCACTTTTCACCCACATTTACTTCCAACCTTTTCTTTTGAACCAGAAACAAAAATGATAGACGTTTAAAACACATGACATCATCCACCCCTGTCAAATGTAATAGCATGATCATTTCAATTGTAATGCCTTCTTATCCCAATGTTACTTTGTTTCTTTGCTACATTAGCGAACACTGAACACAATCTATTATTAGAGCAAAAACTATAATTTGAAGGCTGTCTTATCTCGATTGTGGAGGCACGGTGGCCTTGTGGTTAGTGTGCTTGTCTCCTTGAGCCCTGGTCGG